ATTTAGATCTTTAATCCACTTTGATTTTAGTTTAGTGCATGGTAATAGGTATGGGTCTAGTTTTAATCTCTGACAGGTTGAAATCCAGTTTTTCCAACACCATTTATTAAATAGGCTATCTTTCCTCCAATGAGGTTGGTCCAACCTTGCTTTTAACCCAACCTCCTTCCTGCAAAGGGGGAAGAAAGTGTTCTTAGGAAAGCTGCATGGACCCAATCAGGAAAATAAGTGATGAAAGAGGAATAGCAGCAATATCAAATTTCTCCACCTCTTCCAGATGCTTGTCTCCTAAACCCAGCCTATAACAACAACCCGACCCCCAATTTCTCTGTACCATACTCCCTTCCTCTCTGATTGCCTTGGTCTCCCAGGTTCTCATTCTAAATCTTATGCTAAGGTTACTGTCTTCTCACTGTTTTATGGAGGATTCTCCCTCACTTAGATCCAGACTTGGCTCTCCAAGTGAAACGGTAAAAATTGTTTTGATTTCAGGATCTTCTTGAGTGCGGCCTAGGATGTTGCCATCAATAGCACATTTCTCAGAGCTGGCAGAGAACTTTCTGAGGCCTAGACACTTGCTAGGGAGTCTGAAGCCAATTCCTAGAAGGTTAGAATTTGCCATCAGCCAAGGGAATGTGAGGCCTGGAGAGGAATCCAACTGCAACTAAGGCTGATATGTGGCTCAAAATCGTTTCTACAATGCTGAAGAATCACCTCTGGCTGGGTCTCTCAGAAAAAATGTTCACTCTGGAAAAAAAGGTCAATGTGAGAGTTCATTTTTACTTCACCTTCCTAAACTAAGAAAGAATATGTAGATTTCTTATCACACTCAAATCAGCCCAGTATATCAGACACAATGTTAACTAATGGAAATAGTACAATCTTTGACCATCAGGTGAGTCTGGGTTGACTCCCAGCTCAACTCCAAACTCAAAGATTTGAGGCAAATCGAATTCAACTTCTCTGAAACTCTTTGTCTCATCTAAGGATAATAATACCTACTTTGAAGGATAGAGAAAAATATTAGAAGTGATATGTATTATTGTTCAGACCTAAAATGTTCCCCCAAATGTCTCATGTGTTTGGGAGGTGATTTGATCGTGGGAGCATGATGAGTGACTTACTATAGAAGACTGGACTGGGAGTGTGACCTGCAAGGTTGTATTCTCAACCCCAGTTCTTCCCTTCTCTCTCTGCTTCCTGGCTACCATAGTATGAGCAGCCGTTCTTCACCCAGGCACTTACACTATTCTGTTTCTGCCTTGAAGCCAGCCAACCATGGACTGGAAACATAAGCCAAAATAAACCTCTCCTCCTTTAAGTTGTGTGTATTGGGTATTTGGTCCCAGCATCGAGAAATTGGCAAGACACAGGTAAAGCATCTAGGCCAGTGCTTGGCACTTAGAAGACACTGAGTAGATATTATGTGGTAGTAATGAGAGAAATTTCAGCTTACAGGTACATCTTTACAGCACATGTCACTACTTAACATAGATTTATATGTTCAATGTCTGTAATCTCCTGCAAGAATTCAAGGTTTTTGAGAGCAGAGATTTTGTTTTGCTCATTGCTGAAGAGTTTCTGGTGCTAAGAGTTTGGCAAATGAATGAAAGGGGAAAAAATGAGGAAGATCTGGCTCATCAGACGTGACTAATTTACTGGCTGTGAAATACTTAAACATTATAAAAACATAAAAGGAGGCAAAACTGGTCTCTGCTTAGATGTCTCTGACATTCCCTTTCCATTTCCACTACTATCATTTTAGGGCAGAGTTTCTGAACCTCAGCACTTTATTTATTTTGATAGTGGGTATTGAACTCATGGGCTGTCTCCACTTAGCTACATTCTCAGCCCTTTTTCTTACTTTTTACAATTTTGAGACCGGATATCATTAAGTTGTCCAGGATGGGCTCAAACTTGTGATTCTCATGCCTCAGCCTCCCGAGTGGCTATGATTACAGTCGAGTGCCACCACAGCTAACACTGACATTTGGGGCCAGACAGTTCTTTAAATCAGGGCAGGTAGGCATCCTGTACTTTTAACAGGTTTAGCTGCATCCCTGGGCTCCACCCACTAGATGTCAGTAGCATCCTCATCCAGTTGTAACAAAATTGTCTCCAGACAATGCCCAGTGTCAAGGTGTGTTTGTGTGTGTGTGTGTGTGTGTGTGTGTGTGTAGAGATGACAAAATTGCCTTTTGTCTAGAAACATATTAATAACACCTTTGCCCACCGAGCTTTCAACAAGGCCTGATTCATTCTTTCCATAGACAGTGAACATGAGGGACTGCCCATCAGCATCTCCCCCGACCAGGAAAGAATACCTGAGTCCTAGACATTAGAATTGTGGAAATAAAAACTTTAAGTCTTCATTGAGTGTACTACCAGAGACAAGAAACACACAAGTTGAAAACTGATAACACTATAAGAGAGACTTATAGGCTAGGTCTCCAGATGCCCAGTAGGTAACTAAAAGCAGGATAAAGCTTGACATATCTGCCTTTATTTTTTTCTCCCTTATTACCTTAAAACTTTGGGTCAGATCCCTGCTCAACTCTGCAATGAGGTATGTCAATCACTTAAGGAATGTTTTT